GTCATCAATTATCCTCAATCTTCTTTGAACCGTTCCACTGAACTGGCCGATCGGTACAGAGAGAGGGTCCCAGGGCAACTGTCACAGCATCTGTTTTAAGCAATTATTTAGCGCCAATTATTTCATTGACTGTTAAGGGGATTGAATAATGGCTCGGACAGAATTCGCTCGATCTAAAATAGTTGCTGCTGACGACCTGAGTGAGTTGCAAAAATTATTTATTCATAGTACTTTTTCGCGATTATCTTGCCTTGTAATCTGGAACGTCTATAGGTATACGAGAAACGAACTACTTTCAGATCATTGTAGGATAAAAAGTTTTAATTAATAGATGAACGATTATTTTAAACAATATAATTTCGTGTCTGACGCGCCGTCTCGCGTTTTTATATAACAACCGAAAAAATAATTGCACGTTGTGCGATACTTGAACCGAGCACAGTGTACACGTGCGCAACTTTGTCCGATTTCGTAGATCGATGATCGCAAACGTTCCGCTTCCGCGCTCGCTATAATTTCAGTCGATCGTTAAAACGGCGAAACGGCTCTTCCGCACGATCGCGTTACATTCGATTCGTAACAGAGGAGAACACCTGCGAATCCCGGAGCTAATACAGCTTGTTAACCCGAACGTATCCAGGTAAGGTTCGTCGGCGCAAGTATTTTCGAGACCTGCACAGATTTAGAATTATTTAGAATAGTCTTGTAGGAAATACGTCTATAGTCGTTTGAAAATTTACATGAATATCCTTCTTGGAAAAGAACTTGTTTTTTTTTTTTATTACTAGACACAATACGGAGGAAAATTCTAATAATTTAGTAACTTTAATATATGTATGTTATTTTAATAATAATAATTTAATTACTACATTTTTAACAGATTAAATTTTACACTCTCGAGAGGTGAGAAGCAACGCTATAATGGACAGATTGCGCACAAAAGGCATCGATTTTCTGAGTCGGACGTGAGTCTGACTAATTCACGGTCGCATCTACTTAGCGCGAGAAACGTGTCGTGTTAGTGACGTGCGAGGGACGAGCCTTTGTTCCGAGTGCGGTAATTATCGTCGTTGAAGAAGCGTAACGCGGATAGACTGGTCCTCGCGTTTCCTAGGAAATAGTACACCGTGTCGAAGTTTATATTGTGCTTATTCAAAACGGACGATTCGTTCTACGGTCTACGGTCGCGCGTCGTGAAACCGCGCGGCGTGCACACTGTACACCACACGCACACACACACACG